AACTGTGAGATACTTAGAGATCATAAGATAATACGCGAAGACTTATGGGTTCGCAACGGAAAGATCGTAAATCCAGAACCGATTTACTATTTGGAGACACGATTGGCTGACATTAGCATCGACTGCAAGGGTCTGCTCATCGCTCCGGGATATATAGATCTCCAGATCAATGGTAAACCCAAACGCATCCCAAAGAACTTAATACTAATTGAGTGTTGAATATCAGGTCATTTCGGTTACGATTTCTCCAATTGTGATATCGATATCAAAGAAGCCATTCATAAGACAGCGTCCGGACTCGTCAGGCATGGAGTGACCGCTTTCTGTCCAACACTCGTAAGTCACTCTTTGATACTCAAAAATAAATTGACAAAAATCGACAAATAATATAACAAACAAAATGTAACTCTCGTTGAGGTGACACAATCTGAAGAAAGTTACCACAAAATACTGCCCCAAATCGAGAGAACAGCGGGCAGTAAGGCGTTCGGTGCGACCAATTTGGGCGCTCACGTCGAGGGCCCGTTCATCAGTCGGGACAAGAAGGGCGCCCATCCTCTTGAGTACATTAAGTCCATCGACTCGTTTGAGACAATCAAACGGACGTATAAATACTTAGACAACGTGTCGATCATAACGCTGGCACCGGAATTGGATCCGACCGGCGATTATGTGCGACAACTGGTGGACGCGGGTATCACTGTATCGGTGGGTCACTCGACGGCCACTCTGCAAGAGGGCGAGCGGGCCATCAATTCCGGGGCCACATTCATAACCCACTTATTCAACGCAATGCTGCCCTTCCATCACAGGGATCCCGGACTCGTCGGTCTACTCACGTCGTCGGCGCTCAACAAACAGGTGTTTTACGGCATTATCGCCGACGGAATTCACACGCATTACGCGGCGCTGAAGATTGCCTTCAAATCCAATCCGACGGGAATGGTGTTGGTGTCGGACGCCATCTCCGCGGCCGGACTCGAGTCGGGTAAACACAAGATCGGCGTTCAAGAGATCGAGATTAAGGACAAGACTAAGGCGTTCATCGCCGGCACAAACACTCTGTGCGGTTCGATAGCGGCGCTCGACTATTGCGTTAAACACTTACGACAAGTGACGGGCTGTACGACCGTTGAGGCCATAGAGTGCGCGACACTACACGCGGCGCAGGTGTTGGGCATTGAGGACCGGAAGGGAACGCTGGCCTTCGGTGCGGACGCAGACTTCAACGTATTAGACCCGGCGCTCAATGTTTTGGCCACTTTTATTTCGGGGACATGTGTTTCAAAAGTTGCCAATAGTTTAGATATAAATATTTGAAAATATATATCAATATTATATATATAATGAGTTTTACAAACAAACAAACATTTTCTATAATTAACTGTTGTTTTGTTTTGTTGTTATTTGTCGACAAAATTTATACTAAACTTAAATCTTTGTGATAAAAAGTGTTGTTTTTATACCTAAAAACTATTTCGAGATATAAAGCGATTAATTACAATAATATATATTTTCAATTAGTAATAAAAATTATAAATTTCTTTCATTTCGCTTTCCATCTCTTCTTCTTCTTCTGCCTCTTTTACACCAATCAGTCATTTGTGGCAATAATTAGTGATTTAATATAACTATTATTATATATTCAATGGATTTAATTGATTAGTGAAATGGATTTGTGTGTGGATTAGAGAGTAGGGGTGTTGTGTTGATCCGGATGTTATTCATTGACGATCTCTTCGACTCTGACTAAAACACTTTCAATCAAATCAAAGTTCTGGAGCGCGAGTAAAACGATTTTGTGTTTGTGATCGACGGGAAGGTTTGGAATCTGACCGTTCTTTTGGCCACCGATTCTCACCTCAACCTTCGGCCCCGACTTCTTGCGGGCAGAGGACGAGCCGCCGGTCTTCTGTTCCTTGAGTTTGCATAATTCAAGCTTATAGTGAGCGCGGGATAAGTCAAGTGCTTTGTGTAGTGGTCTCAGGAGCTGGTCCTTCACGAAAGGCATTATATCCCAGAGTTTGGTCTCGTTTTTGGTTTTATTGTCTTTAATACAGACGTACCGAACGATATTCAAAGTGGCAAATATTGTGTCGTTTTGTTCCAAGAGATCGGTGGCCACCCCTTCGGGCAGTGAGGACTTGATCGCCAATTTCATCATTCGCTGCAACTGATGGCCGAGGAATAGCTCTGATGTGAACATAAAGTCTTTATAGATACCGATGACCAGCCCCTGGAGACCCGAGTGTTGCTGCGGTTGTGATAATATGGATAGCAATATCTTGTAGCGACCGCTGCTGTCAAACGACACGATCAGACGTCTGAATATATTTAAAGCTCGTTTGCGATGACTTTCAACACTCGAATAGACCATTATATTGATCAGTGACTTCTCGATGGGTATCGAACGGATCAAATCCAAGAAGTGTGCCTCGAGTTCGCAGTCGTTGATCTGCGATAACAACTGTTGCGCCAAATATAAGCCCTTTTCGTAAATGAGACAAACGCTGGACTTTAAGAGCACATCAATGAACTGGAGGTGAACGCCGAAGACGTAGACATGAGTGTAAATACAGGGAACAAAGTTAGTGCCGCAAAGGCCTATACTCTCGCTGTGGACCAGATATGACAAGTTGGCCATCGCTGACACGAACACATCCTTCGACAGCTCGATGTCCGAGTTGTCACTGTTTTTGAGCTTTTTGTTGGATGTGATCAAATCGATTCGCTCGAAGAGCACGTAATAGTTTGACTGCAAGCGAGAGATCAGTTTCACCACTTGTACGGCCAGTTCGCGGGACTCGCCGTTCGTCTCCTCCGACAGATCCAAATGGAGTAACGGATGGTCGAGGAGTCGGAGCAACGCTTTCAACAGAATCGTCCTCTGGATGTGCGGATCGGATGTCTTGCAGTTGCCGTTCGTGAGCGGAGCTGACGGTCCGTCGGCCAGCCGTTTGGTGACATCCACTTCATTGACAAACGTCTGAATGAATGAGATATAAAGCGGCAAAACGTTATTGATTTGCTTGGCGTTCACGTCGTTGTCGATGAACTGTTTCTCTTCGCCTTCGAACTGATAGTCATCGATGGTGTCGACCGATAGTCGGCTGATGTGGGCGTTGAGTGTCGACAGAACCCATTTGAGTGTCTCATTCCTCTTCGTCGGCAATTGAATCAAAACGCATTCCAATGGCTTAAGAATCGCTTTGAAGACATTGTGATCGCAACCGTACGGCGCTGTGGAGGCAGTGGTGGCGCCGGCGTTGGTCTCACCACCGATGGTGTCGTTCTCCAACTCAGCCAAGAATGCGATCAACACTTCCTTCGGTTTACACAATACACTCACCTCCAGAAGCAATTGCTCGCAGAAGTTGAATGTCTTGAAGCGAAACTCATTGAGACCGCGGAGACGATTGCAGATCAATGGTATCAAATCCCAGATGATATCGTAATCGGTGGCAATCAGTTGCTTCATCTGTTCGTTGCGGAACAGTTCCATCGCTTCCCGCATCTTATGTTTGTCTAAATAGCACTTCAGTTGCGATAAAAACATTTGCTTCACGTCTTTGGCCGACATTTTTCACGGCTTAAGACAATCTTCACGTCTTGGAGGGGAGAGAGAGAGGGGGTGTCCACTGCGACCGCACCGGTCACTCGTTTGCCTCGCTATCAATCCGACACTACCTTCACGTCACGCTCTCAACAATCGGATCCAATGGTCAGACGCCAAGACATATACACACGAAGACAATGAGTGGCGAAAGCGATGTCTAAATGGATGTCTTGACTCGAGTTTCAGCGAAAGTGTGTTTTTGTTTTGAAAAAGTGTTTTGTTTTTTGCATTCATTTCCAATGCATTCAAACCATTCATACATAACGTTATGGCGAATACATGTCTGAATACATGTGGCCGACAGTCAAAGCACTGCTTCACTGCAACTGCACTCCAAATGCACTGCACTTTGTATTGACTACACGTTGTTATCATGTGATACCGCTTTCGCACACCATTTGCCATCACTTTCATCACCGATAATACTCTTCACCCGATATCTGCAATCAGTCTGTAAGTCATTATCGCTTTGCACACAAGTTGTTTACATTTTGGGCTCATTTACCCGCAGGTGATAGCGATGGCAGCGATGCCAGAGTTGACGACATACGAGGCGACAGTAGTGACTGGTCTGGAGTGGATCGCAGCCGAAGAATGCGTTGAGAAGTTGGCCACAAAGAAAGTGACACAAAGTCACGGCCGGGTCTTCATTGAAACCGATCGACCCGTTCAACAGGTGTTTGATTTGAAATCTGTTGATAATATTTATGCCGTTATTTACGACAACGCGAGCGAAGAGGTGCCCAAAAATGCTGAAGAATTGAGCCAAAAGTTGACAAGTATTTCAACCGCTTGTGATTGGAGTCGAGGCCTGAAGACATGGATGGATGCTTACAATTGGACTAAATGTGATTTGAAGACAATATTGGACACTAACGCCGATCTAAAGGACATGAAACCGGCGTTTCGGGTGACCGCCAACCGAACCGGTGATCATAAATTCAATTCACACGAATGTGCGGTCATTTTGGGCGCCATTATTAACGATACTTATCACTGGAAAGTCTCGATGAAAGAGTTTGATATCGAAGTCGTCCTTAACGTTAGAGACAATCACTTCTATGTCTGTCTGGCGTTGACTCGAGAGTCACTTCACAGACGAAATCTGGTCTGTTTTGGACCGACAAGTCTTCGGGCGACCATTGCTTACAATATGCTTCGTATGGCAAACGTTCAGTTGGGAGACATCGTATGCGACCCGATGTGTGGCTCCGGAGCCATACCTGTGGAGTGCGCTCACAATTGGCAAACCTTTGGCATCGCTGCCGACAATCATCCCGTGGCTGTCGAGCGGACACAAACCAATTGTCGCCATAACAAGTCTCTCACAGACGTGAATCAATGGGACGTCACAGCACTTCCGTTTCGCTCCGACTCTATCGACGTCTTCATCACTGATTTGCCATTTGGGAAGCGTTTGGGATCCAAACACGACAATAAAACCTTATATCCGGCACTTCTTCAGCAACTGAGTCGATGCATTCGTGTCGGCACCGGAAGAATGGTTCTGTTGACTCAAGACAAACGAAATATGATTCAGTCGTTGCAGAAACCATATGTTAGTAAGTATTGGAAAGTCGTTCGCAAGACATTTGTCCGCATCGGAGGTCTCGACGCTTCCATATTTGTTCTCAAACGTAACGCTTTGCCGTTCACTCCCATATAAATTGTGATATTAAGACAACTTAAGACATAAATCAGATAATAATTCCTTTCATTTAAACTTTAAATCTCTTTAAATTTATATAAAAATTGTTTTGCGATTAAAATATTTATGAATAAAACGAATAAATAAATCAAAACCAATTCATTAAACCATTAAATCACTTAATTTTATTCAAAAAACGCTCATAAATACAAAACTAATCGCCGGATCGGGTCTTAAGCGATGAGTTCGTAGGGAACGGGCTGTAAGTTCTGCGGTTTGTTAACTTTGGTGATCCGTATAAAGTGGCCGCTCTTGGGCTGTCGGGCCTCGCGTTTGACAGTATAGTGAGCGCCGGTCTGTTTGGCCTCTTTCTTAATGATCTCGTTTCGCTTCACGCGCTGAAGGAAGTCCTGCCGACACTTGGAGTGCGACACGTGCTCTACGCGAACGTTGATCTTCTTGGCGATGATGCGATTGCGGACCCGTTTGTTGACCACCACTCCGAGCGCGTGTTTGGTCACGTTGTAGACGCGACCGGTCTTTCCGTGATAGTACTTATAGGGCATCCCCTTCTGGAAGGCGCCGTTGCCTTTGATGTCCACAATGTCTCCCCTCTTATACACCTTCAGAAATGTGGACAAATGCTCGACGCCGTGACGCTTGAACTTACGCGCGAACATATACCGCGTCCCCCGACGGATACCTTTGGGATTCGTCATCTTCTATAACGGGTTTAATGGTTAGTATGGATCAGATAATGGAGACAATCGATGGCTTACTTCTGTGGTCTGTTTGTTGTGTTTTCAACGCAAACCGGAAAGGGATATACAATGCAGTCAATGCATGCACTGTTGGGACAACACATCAATTACGGCCATATCTTTTCACTGCCATTATTGCTATATAGAGGGGACATTGAATGCGGTTCTTTTCCAGCGTAACGGCTTATATGAACTCCACGTATAACCTACGCGTACCAATTCGTATAAGACGTGTGCCGTATGAGTGGGGGGTATAGCGTATGTTGCCATTGGATACGTGTGTTGTATATGTAGTGAAGGGGCGTTCAGTCGCGGCATTGATTGACATTTGTGTTTGAAATGCAAATCAAAGTCAAAACAATGATTAGTAAACGCTTTGAATGAATGAATGACTCATTTTTACACTCAAAATCAGTCATCCGTTTAATCAACAGAAATGTCCGCCAATTATCACCACAATTAGGTCCACAACAAGACAACCACACCGTCGTTGACACCATCGCAACCGCGAATCTCACGCCTGAATCTCATGACCAACTGATCTGAAGCCTTAAGAGCCGAGATCTTCGCCCACCGGAAGTGATGCTAAGCCTATCGGCCGGCGATAAGCATATTCTTCACTGCATTTTACTCGTGTCTGTGATAGTAGTCTTCGAGTATCTGTCGGGTGGACTCAAGTTGTGGTACACCGACAC